AATTACCACCGTCGCCCTCCCCTTATCCGCCTGAAGAACTATTTGATCATTCTTTTGTAAATTTTTGCGAATAGCAGCCAATCTGCTCCTGTGTATCGGTTCTTGATGTGTCAGAATCCTTGGGATTATTTCCATTTCCATCTCCCGCCTTGTATCTTCAGGATATTTATCGGTTATGTTGACAACTTCCACCATCACTAAGAATGTTTTCTTTATTACCTAGTGAAAAATGTAATCCCTTCTCTAAGAGATCCGTAGTTTCACAATCAAGAGGGATTGAAGATAGATTTACTATCTTTGTTCTATCGTCGTCTGTAGCAATTGGTGCCTTTAATAAAGAACCATCAAAATTTGCCTGGGTTGGCTTTGTCTTGCGCTGTCTAATTATCCCATAGCTGAGCAATTTTCTGTCATGCCTCTTATTTATCAGATCCCGAACCCTCTGCGACTTCTGGTCTGTCATGCTCTGGACATTTTGAAAATCATCCAAAGTGAGAACCCTACCTAGATCCTTCCTTAATATAGACTTGAGATCTATGAACTTAACTAGCTTACGCCTCTCAGTCTCGTAACTCTTCTGTAATTTCTGGATGGAGGCGTGATAAAGTATTTGATTAACTGTGTCCGAATGACACTTCCTCATTAGATTGCAGAATCGGGAAACGATGCCATAATGTTTACAACAATTTAAAAAGGCCAAGTAGTAGGATTGACTTACAATCGTCTTCTTTGTTTGGCTGTAATACATGCTTTATAGATCCGCTTTTATTTGCTTTAGAACGATTTATTTATGTTTACCATCGCTAGACCGGATAAAGTATACTCTAAATTCATTCGCCAGATTTTCTTTCTCATATTTCCTGAATTAAATCGATAAGCTTATTGCTTTTTTGTTTATATTTTAAAATTAAAAAAATTAAAAAAACTTGTTTTGTTTGTATAATTTTATAAACAATAAATTATTTTTATACTACATAGAATTAAATGGTCAGAATGCAAGCATATCAACTAATGAAAATAGTGATTTATCATAACTCCTCTTACACTCCTTATAAACCAGAATTGGAGAAAATTGAAGAGGATTATGTTTATTTTATGAAGTTATACAGGATCAGATCCTTCCACCATAACCCATCCTAAATGACAATGTCTTCCGAGTCATTTTAAAGTAATTTTATGAAGAGAAGCTGGGTTTCGAAGGAGCCTTTAGTAGATTGACATTGGCATTTATTTTATTTCATAATTTGGCCTCATAGGATACCGAATGAGTATTGCCTTGGGCTTGTGACTGTTTGATTGTACGAAGAATACCTAGGCTCACTATTCTGCGACCCCGATGACTCCGTACTGGGCTTTCTTCCATCATGTGATGGACATCATCATAGCCAGAAACCACTATTTACGAACAACCACCAAAAACACTAAATCAAGATGGATGGCTAACTAAGACCATAATTTATTCTTATACCTCTCTTAACGATCTTAATAAAGTATTCCACGATTTGGCTGGCAGCTTTATGCTTCTCCTATATGCAGGCATGTGAGTAAAGTTAATGAGGGAAGGTGAGCGGATGTAGTCACAACTTTTCTTTATGTAAATAAACTTGTGTATAATTCTGTAATCCTGAGGTTTGTTTTAGCTTTGTGGATGCATTACTCACGAGGTAGTTGGCAATTTTGGGTCAGACAAGTCTTCTCCTCTTGGTTAGTGGCTCTTGTTCCCTTTCTTTTTCTATATACATCTCTCTAATTCTATCCAGCCGCCAGAGATAGTTCTTGCTTAATTTCATACATTCCTTCCTCTTATTCAGTAAGTCATTTGTTTTGCCACTTTCAATACACTTCCTGATCTTCAATTGGGTTTTGCACCACTCTATCTAGTCTCCTGCATTGAGCATATATTCAGCCCCCTCAGATTTCTGAATCCATAAACCTTTGCGGGATGTTTTGTGTTCTAATGACCTCAAATGTATGTGTCGACGAATCTCCATTACATAGACACTACCAAAACCTTATAACGACCTGATCTGCGGAGGGTGTCAGAAGATTCTCTAAAAGAAAACATTACAAAGAAAAGCGTTAATATTTATTTATATATGAACTTGAAATTCCATTACCACAGTAATCCTCCAATCTTTTTTAAAAACTGGCAAAATTTTAGCATTAAGAACCTGGATGAAGAGTTGTTTGATGCCCTGTTTTGCCATAATTAATGGGTTCCTCTCACCATTTTTCTTAGCATTTCAAAATTGTAAACATATAATCGTCCTCAAGTAAAATTTTTATTAACCCTTCTAACTCCTGATCCTAATGATTTACATCCACTGTACGTAAACCCCTTATCTCCATTAATTTCAGAAGAAATTCAGAAGGAAACCCATAGTGGACTTAGTCTTCCTATCTAATCTATCAATTAACCTAAAGAAGTCTTCCAGATTCTCTTTACCATGCTGCCAGATTGCAAAGCAATCATCCAAATATCTGACAATACTTTCGGAACTAGGAGTACTCCCTGAAAAGGCTGAACTTCTAAATAAAGTCATGTAGTTATTAGCTAAAACTGGAGATAACCACAAACCCATAGCTAAACCCTGGGTTTTTTAATATAATTTACCATTGAAGGTGATATATTTACTATTCATTATCAAGTTCGTCAATTTCATTATTGAATCCTTGCCTATCTTATTTTCTTGCAGGATGCTGATCTAAGGTTAGTCCTAGAGCCTGTAAGGATCATTTTTAATAATAAGAGTTGTGTGATAAGCAAGACAACACGATTTATTTGTGGTAGATTAAGAAAACTTCAGGTTTTTGAAACTTTTCAATTAAGAATACTTATGACTTTTTTAAGAAAGTAGTTGAGCAAATAATAGAAGGGAAGGCTTTGCTTGTAAGTTATGATGTAATATCAATGTACACGAATATATCGGTAAGTGAGTCCTTACAGGCTTTATGATTAAACTTAGCTCACCACCCAGGGATTACATAGGAAAATAAGATAAACAAGTATTCAATCATGAGATTGACGAAAATAATAATGAATATCACATATTTCGCCTTCCGAGATAAGTTATAGAAGCAGACCAAAAGGTTAGCTATGGGATCGTGTTCAGCTCCAGTTTTAGCTAATTACTACATAGCTCATTTCTAAGTAGAATCTCAGCCTGCAACCTTTCTGGGTTTAGTGCCTTTGGGTGATTGTTCGTAAATAATGGTTTATGGCTATGATGATTGCCGTCATATGAAGGAAATAGGTTGAGCATGAAGTCATCGTGGTTGCTTGAAGGAGAGCCAACCCAAATTTGGAATCCTGTGAGGCCAAGCTACGAAGCTCTCCAACCCGTCTTTTGAGACGAAATGAGAGGTATGCCAATTTCAAATTTTTTGCTACGACCCATTAACTTTTGCCATAATCTTTGGGAAAAAACATTTCATTGGCAGAAAAATTAACTGTGGAAAATGCTACAAGAAATAATCAAATCCCTTTAACCCCGACTTTATTTGAATGAAAATAATAAATATTGAATCCATTCCAAGTTGCGAATAAGACTAGAAAGACAGAGTAGTTAGCCGTAAGTTTTATCAAATACTTTCTATTAGGACATGAAAAATGATAAAGGTTATAAGTTCTTCTATTCTAAATTTCCTTTGATATTACTAAATCTTGCAAAAGAAAATTTTCGTAGGGAAACTTCTAAAGAAGCCGAAAAAGAGCTTAATCTCTGGGATGATCGGCAGGATTTATCCAGTCCGGGAAACGGAAAAGCTTTTCACACACCAATATTTACAATTAAACAATTACAAAAAATAAAAGTGGGTTGACTTCGTTGTCACGATTTCGTCTTGTTGTCAGGGGGAATTAGTAAAAAGCACCTAGTCCGAAGTCCTCTGCAATAGTAATTATCATAATTCTCAGCACCGGACAGTGTTCTTAGTACAGTCTCAAACGTTTCGCCGGCATCTGGTGCGGAGAATAGCAGCATTCACTGATGCCGAAGAAACGTTTGCAAATGTATCAAGTCCACTGTCTGATACTGGGAATGATGATAACTACTATTGCCGAAAACTTTGGACTAGATACGTTCTACTAAGTCGCCTTACCAACAAGACCAAGTTGCGGCAACGAGGTCAACCCACTTCTATAAATCGAAAGGAGACTGCGACCATACCGGGGATTACACCATCTTGCTCTTCATATGTTCGATAAAAAAAATAAAGTTTAGGAATAAAAAATAATTGATAAATGCAATATTAAATTTTATCATGAAACGTTCTTAGTTAAAATTCTATAGACGATATAGGAACGTCACACTAACTATTAGCCATTGATACCGCAAAATTAGTAATAACTTTTAACAAAATCACATATAAAACAGGCCAAACCAAATCTTCCTTAGGACTAATAAACATAAACTGTTGGAGAAAAACCTAACTGGCCTGGATCTTAATAACTAAATAGGGCCCTCCTTAATGCACAGGGCACAAGCGGCCTTTAGTACAATATAACTAGTTTCACAATGCCAGTTCTAAATAAGAGCGATCAAAAAGCAAATAAATATTCGCCGTTAAGAGTTTATCTAATAGTTAATATTTAAAAACGATATTCTTGTGAAAGGTTAATAAAGATTTTCACGGATAACTGCCATCACCTTTAATTACATATTTGTTTATGATGCTTTAAATAAGGCAAACGATCAAGCAACTTATTACAATTAATTTTGGATTAGCTTAAGTTACAGACCCTATAGTAGACGAATTTAATTTAAATGTTTAAGGAAACAAAATATTCTTAAAAAATACAAAATTCGAGATTGGCCTACCCGGAATTGAGCTCGCCAATCGAGACGGCGTCAGTATCTTGCTCTAAATCGGTGGTCCATATAGTCACTGTGTTGGTATTTATTTTCTGCCCCTCGTGGGCAAGGCGCCGACATCGACTGGTTCCTTGTATATCGCCTGGTTCTCCAGCCCCATAATGACCCATGCTCGTTGGCGTTGCCGATGTAGCAGTCGTTGGTAGAAACCCTGCGCAGGCCCTGTGCAGCTGTTCAGTCTGGCCGTTGCAAACTGAGGATAGTTGAGTCCTGCCAGCCAGTACTTGGCTGGAACAGCCAAGCGTTGTACGTGGCAGACGGTCAGGAAGATAACAATTGTCCCCACCATTACTGCCACGACTACCAGCAGCGTCCATATTGACCCCAGCATATGCGGAGTCGCAGCTGACTCTACCATGCTGGTCACTGTGTGAGACCGGCGTTGTGGTGACAGTATTAGTAGCGATTGGAGTGGCACCAGTAGGCGAAATAGATGGCTTTGATGAACATTCACCGATATGGCTTGGTAGGCGTATAAGCCAAAAACCTGGACCGGCCGAGCAGAGGACCCGTACAACCTCGCCCTTGGTGAGGCAATTCTTCGGCCAATACTGTAGGGATTGCTCAAAGAAAGTATGCATACGTAACGAAAACGGGAAGCCGGCATAAGTACTCTCTAATAAATTTTCAGAAGATGATCTCACGAAGCCTGAACGAGTAACTTCCCATATAAAAAGCTAAAGCGAGAATATTCGCTCTAAAACTTTACAGACTTACTAAATCCAAGAAAAAGTTTACCGAATAAATAGAAAATATCATTTTCATATAAAAAAGATGGACAGAAGCGAGAGGTAAATTTTCCTGGAGCGGATAAACTAATTTTTAAAAATAGTATTAATCGACAAATTCCTGAAAATTATTTAAACGCGAAAGAAGAGTAGTGGCCAATTGGTAATAGAAGGGCTGAGTGTAACAGTCCCGGATAAAATAAATAAGAGCCTTACTGAGGCACAAGTGCCTCAGTTCGTATAAGCATGCCTTCAAAAGACTTTCTCATTAAAGCTAAACTACAGTTTTGACCTGGTCATAAATACCATTAAAACGCCTAACTGAATTCGAATCTTGGTACTGTGTCAAGTGTCAACATTAATACTAAAACATTAGACTGCCACGAGTGCAAGAAGGCCAAAGCAGATGTGACCTCCAAGGCAAGCCAGTCCATCCTGGATGAGAAAATGTTTTGGGAGGCAATGCTGTGCGAAATTGAATGATGTCGTGAGATCTACTCATTTTATCAAGGGAGATAAAACTATTAATCCTATAGCATCGTAAGGGATCTAAAGAGAGCTAAATTCTTACAAGACAAAATATTTCCTTCTGGAAGCCGAGGGTAGTGAGAAAATAGCCAAGTACTCCTTGGACCAAAGTTGTGCAGTGAGCTAAAACCAGGCGAAAGATATAAACGATATCTTATTGTAAAGCATTTGAAAAAGTCTCTACATTGTCTTTTTCTAGCTTCTGTTTACAAAAACCTCTTATATTTGGAAAGTAGCTGTATTTGAGTAATCAAGTCAGCTAGGTCCCAAAATCTTCAAACGCAAATTTAGATAAATTGGATTTACTTATTTGTGCTTCTTAGAATATAGCTCTCCTCACTTAATCTCATCCGTTTCTTGATGTCTAAAATGCAATAAATAAATAAATCTTGTCATACAATTTATGTTACTGCGTATGCGATACAACCCCAATGGCTCAAAGGTACATAATCCTGAGGATAAAACCATGAGAATTATATGCCCCTCCACAATTGGATGGTTGAAAACTATGAATTTTTACGGGCCAACAAAACTTCCACCATATCCTACTAAAGTCTGAACAACCATGAACTGCAAGGTAG